TGACCTCTTCTTGGGTTTCTGAGGTCGTATCACTATGGAAGTAGATTGCCCAACCTTCCTTCCAAGGAGTGGCTGGGGGGGTTGAACTGCCAGCCTTCTGGTTAGCAGTCAAATGCCTCAGGCACTGTGCCACCAGAACTCCTTCTTCTGTGTATGTTGTTGTTGTTATTGTTATGTGTCGTTGAGTCCGACCCGACTCGCACTTAGGTCCTGCTCTGATAATCCTGGATAATCTTCCCATCAAAAAATCTTTAATTTATTCACATCTGCAGAGCCTCTTTTGCCATATAAGGTAACAATCACAGTTCCAAGAAGTGGGACATGAATATCTTTGGAGGCCATTATTGGGGGTCACTATAGGCTGCCTAAGAAGTTCTGGTGGTTCAGTGGTTAAATCATTTGGGAAGGATGAGGCACTCTGCTGTGGTAAAGATATACAGCCTTGGAAACCATAGAGGGCAGTTCTACCCTTTCTATAGGGTCATTATGAGTCAGAATCGACTCCATAGCAGTGGGTTTTACAGATTGCCCAACACAGTTTGGAATAGGGTGGGAGAGGGAAGGTCAGAAACACCTCAAAGATTCACCCACTTGTGAAGGTGAGCTAGGGTTATCCTTGCATCCCAGATAGGGAAACAGTATAGACAGAGTGACAGCGAGAGAAACCCAGGCCTGCCCAGGCACCAGAAAGTCGTTAATGTAAAATTGCTTTCTTTTTTGAAATGAAATAGTATTTTATTGTATTTTTGATGAAAGTTTACACTGCAAAACAGCTTCCCATCCAACAATTTCTACATATATTATTTAATGACATTGGGTACATTCTTCACATCCTATCAGTATTCTCGTTATTTTCGTTCTGGTTGCTCCGTTCCCATTCACCTAGTCTTACTTAGATCCCCCTCCCATCTTCTCATGTTAATGTGAAATTTCTTAACTATTTTCCTTAGCTGCCACATCATTGATTTTATTCTTGCTTATTTTCCCTTTTTTAAACTCAGCATTATTTTAATTTCATATGCATACATACATTCTCACTGCCATTCAGTCGATTGGACTCATAGTGACCCCTCCTTGGGTTTCTGAGATGGTATCTCTGCGGAAGAAGATTTCCTAATCTTCCTTCATAGGAGTGGCTAGTGGGTTTGAACTGCCAGCCTTCTAGTTAGCAGTCAAATGCCTTAGGCACTATGCCACCAGCGCTCCCACCCACCCACATACATATATAAAAACAAATTCAACGCACTGCAGTCCAGTCAGTCCCGATTCATAGCGACCCCTCCTTGGGTTTCTGAGGTGGTATCACTATGGAAGTAGATTGCCCAACCTTCCTTCTGAGGAGTTGCTGGTGGGTTGAACCACCAGCCTTCTGGTTAGCGGTCAAATGCCTCCTATACTATATATAGGAGCTCTGGTGGCATAATGCCTAAGGCATTTGACTACTAATCAGAAGGCCATAGAGATAGTAGAGATACTGCCTGGGAAACCCAAGGAGAGGTGGTATGAGTCGGATCCGACTCTACGTCAGTTAGTTTGGTTTTGGTTTTTTGGTAAGGAAAACTCTGAGCTGAGTCTCTCCTTCTTCCGTCATGTTTGTTGCAAATTAAAAATATCTTCAAGTGTTGTAGCTCTTCCCTCAATACCTAGAAGGATAAGGACTACTTAATATTGGATAGGCTGCAACATAGCCCAGCTCATGGCCTGGATGTGGTCCACAGTACTCTGCTTAGTCCTGCAGTGTTTTCAAAAATTATAATCAGCGGAGAACTTTAGGAAGTGGGAAAATTGATACAGAAAATCTAAATCTCCAACTCCTGTTGAAAAATGAGACAACGTGCCCCATTGACTTGTGTTCCTGCTGGAGCTGAAACATGAGTGTTTCAGTTGGCAGGATTCCCACTGCCCAGTGGCTCTCTATCTCTAGGGCAGAGTCTCTGAGGCCATTAGGCATCACTGTGGTTTTCCTTAAGGCAGTGGTTGAGAGCTCACCTGCCAACCAAAAGGTTGGCAATTTGAACCCACCTGCGGCAGGTGGTCTACTTCCCTAAAGATTAAAGCCTAGGAGTCCTAGGGTCAGAATCCTCA